TTCAATCAAGTTTTAAAGCTTGCAACAAAAATATGATAAGCCCCCAATCTTTGTATTACAGAGGTTTATTATCCAAAAATTGTTTAAACATATACAACGATTCTTGCGGTTTATATTGTGGAACCTTAATAAAATAATTTGAATTTCTAAAAAAATATTTTAAATTAACTGCATGGCCTGCTCCTCTAACTAAATATATAAAATGTTAAAAAATATTTAGAATTTTGTCTGTTACCTGTAGTAAAGGTTAATCCATTTTCATATTCAGTTTTAAATCCACCAATCTGTCCATTAACAATCCATGCTTGTTTTAGTGTTTTTAACTTTAAGTTTTTAACTGAATTAGTTTTTAGAAAAATTCGGTCAATGTTCTGCATGGTTCACTACTACCGCCGTACTTTTAGCAGTACGTATCATTGCTTTCCGTACTATTAGTACGAAAAATATATTAGATCAATCAACCCCGTGTTTAAGTATAGATTACTGAAAGTGAAAGTTTCTTCCTTATATTTACAATTTACTTCTAAAGAGGTATTTGCTAGTAAAATGATATAAATTATTCATAGATTTCATATCTTAACTAAGCTTTTTAATTAATCAGGTATTGTGAAGCAGTATGTGTTATAGTAATAAGATTGAAACAGACATGGAAATTTATGGACTGCTCCGATATGATTTTAGCTTTTTGAAGCAGACTCCTAAGTTTTAAGAGGTTTGGAAATTTCGGTAGGCCCTGAAGGTCGACTACCACTATTTTTGTCTCTACCCTTATTTTTCGTACACATTCTTTTTACCTCTTACATCGACTTAAAATTTCTCTTACCAAGTACGAGTTAATAAACCACTAAAAACGGTCTACTTATTTTAAACAAAAAATCGTCCAACTTTATATCCAAGTCGTTCAGTAAAACGTTGTCCCATCAACATATTACACCTCATATCCAAATCACCATTATAAAAAATCACACGAATATTAGCATTTAGAATAACTTTTATAAAATTGGCCATTTCTTCTAAAAATTATTCCACAAATATTTTTTTAATTTAAATCAACCATAAATTGGTGTGTACGTATTAAACTGATTAGATGAACATACTTCCCATTTATTATTTAAAATAGGCGGAATATGCAATGCTTTTTTTACTAAAATTATTATTCATTAATTTTTTGATAAGAACGAATGACCATCTGGCAAGTTTAAGTAATTCTCTACATTGGAAACTTAAATTAAAATTTATGCTAAAAATAATTTTTAAAATTTATAATACTCAAATATGTTCAGAGATTCCTGTTTGTTGGAATATTATTGTGAAATTTTGATTGGGAATGGGGTTGTCGGAATATGTAAAAAATTTGGGATATCTGGAACCAAGTCTTAGAATCGAACAGAAATTCATTACAGTATTTCCTCTATTAGAATGACCACCTCCATTTGAATGGCCCCTCTAATAGAATGGCCCCTTGGGAGATGTGCTTTTTGGGTCCCTAATAATTTGCTCCCTATGTCGATGACGAAATTGAAGATTAAAAGATTTTAAATATTTTTGATATTTTTTATTTTGTTTATTATTTTTGGAAGTGACTCAGTAGTCACTTTCCATTTTTGACAATTTTTTATGTACTTTTTTGCAATGTACTTAACATTGCATCATTTTTATATAGAAATTTTTGCCTATAAAAAGTAGGCAGAAATTTCACTTTTCAATGTCTTTTTGAGATATTCATTTTTTATATTCTGTGTGAATATTTATTTTATTTGAAGATAAAGATTTAATTGTAGTTGTGTTAATTTTATTTGTTTATTTGATCTAGGTTAATTATTCTGAGAGAATAATTAACGCTGAGATTTTTTAATTCCCTATTAAAGAATAGGAAGGTGAAATAGTTTTCCCTAAGAAAGGAAAAGTATTTTACACCCTAATAAATTGCTCCCAATATTATTTTAAGGATCTTTTAGATGGGAATAATCATATTTTTATAATTAAACTATAATTTTTCTTACCATCTATACACGGAAGATTGCCGTTTGCCGGTTATAAATTTAAATAATTAAATAATTTATAAGTAAATATTTTTACCACAATTTTCATAAATATTATAAATATTTAAAAATTTATTGTTATAAGCAGCAAATAAGTTCCCTCCCTAAAAGTTTTAATAAATTTGTTAAATTTATAAAATTTTACCATATTTCCACATCTTGATTCATCAGGGATGCCTTTAATGTCACAACCATCTTTAAAATATTAAGTTATTAATGTTCGACTCTAAAAAAATATCGAAAATTAACCAAGCTCCCGCCCATAAAGGTACATGGGTAGTGTATCTGTATTAAGCCTTTCACTTAATCACCATCCAATAGCTACTCTAATTAATAAAACCAATAGCTACCAATAGCTACTCTGCTTAATAAAATTTATTATTAACTAGAAGCTAAATTGATGTTCATTCCAACTTAGATCACTTTCTCCATTGAGTGTTTGATCAGCCTAGCGCTCGATCAAGCGGTCTCAGCTCCTATGGGAAATGACATCTACATCTATTTCCCCATAATAAATAGAAATTTGTTTATGTTTTAAAATCATAATTATTGGATTAATTTGGATATCACCAGTCCCGTTCACGGCTATGGAAAAATAAAAAATAATTTTTAAATTTAACCCATGCAGCCATTACAGCATTGACTTTGGAACGTCTGCCAGACTTCCTCATCCATCAAACCATGACTATAAAGGTACATAGGTAGTGTATTTGTATGCAGACTATCACTTAATGCCCCATTACCAATAGCTACACCCTTTAACAAAATTAATTTTTTCCTTATTAAATATCAACATTATATACTTTTAAATTTATTTGTGTAGCCTTGTTGCCTTCCAAAATTTTTCCAGCAAGCAGTGGAATATATACTGCTGCATATGACTCTCCAGTGAGATAAAATGGATTTGATTTAAATGAAGGATATTTATTGAAAAAGTCTTTTAATGCGGCATAGTTTTCCACGGCAACCTTTAAATAATTTTATGATATCATATACCGTTTAGATATCACTTTAAGAAACCAAAACCTTATTAAAATATCGTTTATCTTCCTGATCTGTGATGCTAAAAAGAATTCTTTCGTTTCTTTTTAGCGTTTTCTTTCGTTTCTCTACCCTTATTTTGAGCTGATCTAATTACTCTCTCCTATCTAATATTGTAAATCCCATTTTTCCTGATCAGGGCTTATTTATCATGGCTTATTTAGAGTTTATTTTATTAATTTGAATATTACTGATTAATCGTTATCCAAATCTGTGAAACTTAATGAATTGGATTGCACTTAATTTTTATCTTATAGGAACGTTCTTGCTTAATTAATGATTAATTTACGAGTCCCAGCCTATACAAACTCAAGAAAATTTTCCATATTAATTCCATCAAAATCTTTCATAAACTCCCATTCATTGACCCCTTAAAAGATTTACAAGGCATAAAAAAATTCACAAGGCATAAATACCTACACTGTCATCATTTGTCGAAACATTTTTACTTTTTGTATTATAGGAATACCCAGTCCAAGCAGGGGATTCTAAAAATATAACAGATGCGTATTTATTCCATGAATAAGGATTTAGGCGAAGTGTTTTGCCATCTTTGTTGATTAAATATGGGCCTAATTCTGTAAATAAACCACCGAGGGATGAACAACGAGGACCTCCATTTAGCCACAAAACCTTAGGAAAATTTAGATAATTTAAGAGAATTTGTGGATATTAACCAATGGATCCGTCTTTGGAGTTCCTTGGGATTCAACGAAAATATAATGAAATAAATTGCCATTTCCGGCATCCAAATAGCCTTAAAATAAAATTAATAAAAATGATAGATTAAATAATGAGCCTGAATAATGTTTAAAGTTGAGCTTTGCGGATAAGCCTGGTAACCCTGTAATTTGATTGGGATTATTATTTAGTTGAGATGATCCATAAATTATTAAAATGCAAAATTGGAGAAGGCATAAAAGAAATTTAGCCATTTAAAATTAAATTTTTTAATTCAAATTACAATTAGTTTTTTGTGTTATTTAGTAGAGTTTTTGGGGATTTTTGGTTAAGGGTTGCCTTTTCCCAAATTTATTATATAGGCTTGTAAAATAAAAATTTTAGTTCATTTTTAGTCTTACTTTTAATCTGAACTAAAAAAAATTTTTCATCTTGGTTCAAATTTTTTTTATTTGAAATTAATTTTATTTAATTTGCAAATATAATGTTTGATTCAGTCAGCATTTAGGAATAATATCTCGTCTGAGAATAATATTAAATTAAATATTTGCTAGCAAAATTTTGCTTGGTATTCAAAATATTTATTATATTTAATTCTGAACTTAAAAATTTTGAACTTAATTAATGGATAAAGTGGATAAAATTATTATCCTAAAATTATTTTCTTTAAGTTCAAAACACAAGTATGTATTCTAAATAAAAAAAAATAAATTTTAAATAAATAAATATTGCTTAAATTACTGAATAAAGTGGATTTTTTTATTTCTATTTTTGTGGTAATAAAGAAATTTATAATTTTACACATAAAAAATCTTCATTTTATAAGATTATTTTTTTTTAAATTATTTATATTAAAATTATTATTTTAAAATTATTATCCTGAAATTATTTTCTAAATTAAATTCAAGCATCGTTTTCAAGCAACATTACCAGGGTTATCTTATAAATTTAAATGAGTGATATTATCATTTTTATCTGAACGATAAACCTAAGGATGAAGAAAGAGAATAATTTAAGAGGAAAAGATAAATATTTTGTAAAAAATGTTAAAATAAAAATTTGCGTTATTTACATGCTTGACTTCTAAATCAATGATAAATTTTCTTTAAACAAATATAATCAAAAAATTGTTAAGAAATGTTAAAATTTAAAAAAAGTAACAGAAAGATATTCTTGAAATAAAGCACCAAAAATTGAAAAAAATTCGTATAACATAAAAATCAAATAGTTTTATTTTCAATATAATCCAGGGTAAGATGTTGCCAAACACGTTCCATTGTTGCATTTCATTTTGAAGCTAGTAACAAACATTTTTGTGTTCAACAATTCAAAATGACAGGCTTCGTTGCCTGGTTGAGTGAGAGAACATACAGTAAACAGTGTAAAGTCAAAAGCTAAAAAATTTCAAAAAATTTTTTAAAAGCTTCAAAGTAGGGTTGGTCCCCGAGCCTTCGGGGTTGAAAAAGTCGGGGGTCGGGGTTTTCGGGGTTGACAAAGTCGGGGTCGGGGTCGGGGTTGCTCAAATTGTTCGGGGTCGGGGTCGGGGCTGAAAATAATGTCGGGGTTCGGGGTCGGGGTCGGGGGTCGGGGTTGAAGTGAAAATTTACAAAATCCAGCATTTTTATCAAACATTACTGTTCAAAATCAACATTTTTATAAAAAAATCAACTTAATCTTCATTATCATTATCTTCACTTTCTGAATCTGATTCGATATTATTCGAAGGCGCAAGAAGTACTTTATCCAAGTTAGCTTTTACTACGAGTATTTGCCTGACAGTTTTTCCTGACAATCTAAAATTATTATTTTTTTAATCACAAATAAATAAAACCTATTCCTGAGAGTATTAGCATATATAAGTCCCGCTTTCGAGAAAAGCCTCTCAGAACAAATGGAAGTTGCGGGAATACAATGCAACATTTGAGCAATTTTAGCCATTTCAGGAATGAACTTCCCATTATCTCTCCACCATGAAAATAAATCACTATCAACTGGAACACGCTGCCAGGCTTTATATTGTGACAATTGCGATTCAATCTTTGACACAAAATCTGCTGACTCCTCACCAGAAATTGTTGTATTTGGCAATGTAGAAGTACAAGGGGATTTAGGTTTTGCCCAAATATCATCTAAATTTTAGTGAGTTTATTTTTAATGGCAAAAATACATTTCTCATCGCTGCTTGTACTTAAATGATCACTTGATTCAGCTTCTTCAGATAAAATTTCCTCTTCTAGGTCAAATGACACTGGCTCCAAGCTCTTACTGATGTTGATGTATTCTTTTGCAAAAACTTCTCATATTCTGCCAAATGCATAGACTTAAGATGGTCCCATAAACCTTTTGTTGAACTTTTTTTACAAGAAAATTTATTTTCACAAAGCTTGCACCTAGCTGATTCATCAGCCGTTGGTAATTTTACAAAAAAATTCCAAATATCAGAAGATTTAGTTGACATTTTAATATAATTTATAATTAAATCTAAAGACCTATATAAAATTACAAATTCAAAATGAGTTGTGTATAACCAAACTATGAATAGAAAAAGCTAGTTTAAATTTTGTCATGAAAATATTCTCTGTGAATAGAGAAAAATAAAAATAGTTCTTTTCCTCTTTTTTTAGTTGTCTTTTCTTTCTTTTGTTTTATCAGAATATAGCAGAATGCCAACAAAAAAATATATAAAAGTTAATTAATGCAGTTTGAGTCGGGGTCATAAAAATTTTTCGGGGTTCGGGGTCGTCGGGGTCGAACTTTCGGGGGTCGGGGTTTTCGGGGTTGGGAATGTCGGGGTCGGGGTTTTAGGTCAAAAAATGTCGGGGTTCGGGGTCGGGGTCGGGGTTAGTCGGGGTCGGGGACCAACCCTACTTCAAAGAATCTACCAGGTGAAGTTCGAAAGAAGAATCCACCAATACGCTTTAAAAATCCCTTCCATTTATATTGGAAGGTGCCCAAAATATTATTGTTTTGATGCTCGAAATACCCATAGTAATTAATTTCTCCAGCTTTTTCTCCCAAATAATAACGCAACCAATTATGGTGTCCCTCAACACCGGTTCCATGTTTCCATTCACCACTGAACACATGTTCAAAACCTTTAAAGATCAAGAATTTCTCGTTAGAAAATATTAGAGCCAAGCTCAATACGATGATTTTTCTTATTTTTCGATATTCGATTTTAATATTTTCGAAAAAAATAAAAAATATGAAGGAGTATTTACGGGTACTTAAGTATATATTTTTACATTGTCTTCAAAATTTAATGAATAATTTGTATTTAATATTTTGCGACTTTCCTCTCATATCTTCGCCCATCCTAATTTAAAGCCATATATAATTAATAAATTAATTAAAAATAAATATCCTTTTCTCACCCGAGCTTCCTAAAGGTTCAGAATTCTCATGCTGCTCACAACGGGAATAAGTACCAAACCAAAAATCAAACATATGTTCACGGAACTCATCAAAGTTTTTGTCAGTTTTACCTTAAAATGTCTCAAAATTTTTTGCAAATTTCATATCCTGACCATGATTTAGAAGAAAGTCATAACCTAATTTAAATACTTCACTATCCGTAATTAATCCCCAAATTTTTACAAATTTTTCTCTTCTTTCCTCGTTCATTGGAGGTTCTTGTTCACACACTTGTTGATAAAAATTATTTTCTTTGTACATCTCTAGTAGAGCAGCGTATATAGGTTTTTGAAATATAGATTCATCAACAGAAGAGAATAAGCTTGAATGATAATTTATCCGAATTTTTACAGCTAAACGTGCAGTTGGAAGGACGACAGCAATTTAATTCAGTATTTTATACAAATACGATCAAAATTTACATGTTAAAATGGGAATTTTTTTAAAGAATTCTATTTTTATCGGAATTGAAACTTAGTATGGCTAGCCAGCAAAATTGGGACCCGAAAATTTTATAGACACATGTGAATTTAATATTAAACAACGGTTAGTTAAATAAACCTACGGATCAGGCGAAATGTCCTTTACTTGTTTTTTCTCAAGTTTTCCTTGCCAATTTAGTGTAATAGCTTAATAATATCGAAATTTACGAAAGAAATATTTTTTAAGCTACCAGATTCGTCAACTCTATCAACATCCTTTTCCCATAGTTCTTCAACTAATTTTTGAAATTCTGGATCAGATTTGTGCTTTCGCTTCTTCTTTTTTAAAATTTTGGTAAACGAAGCTATCTGTTATTATTAGAATCATAAAAAATAAAAATTAAGTTTTGAAACATTTAAATGTCCATAATTCTCTGACATTCTAAGTGCCATATCAAAATGATATCCGCCATCAATGGGAGCTGAACAATGCTAAAATTATGATCATACATTATTATTGGACTTTAATTTAAACGAAAAATATCAATTAAGGTTAAAAATTGTATAATTGATCCAATGTAATATATTTTTAAACTGTACTCCAAAGAAAAGCTCAATTTCAGTTTTAAAAGAAATCACCCTCTAATTCAATAGTGATTTCATTAGAAAACTACGTTATGTATGTTTAGGGTTAAATATTTACATATCAAGTTTTTTTAAATTTTTGATAATAATTTTATTGAGTTCTAAATAAAATCCCCAATCCATTTAAGTTTTTAAAGAAATCAGCATCTAATTCAAGAGTGATTTCCTTAGAAAACTAGGGTATTTATGTCTAGTGTTAAATATTGACATATTACATTTTTTTAAATTATGGATAATGATCTTATGGAGTTTAAATAAACTCCAAACGTGAAAATATCAAAACTATAGCAAGATTATGTATGAATATAATTAAAACATTATACTAATGTTTAAACTTTTAAACACTTATGTAATTTATTTATTTAATTTTTGCATATTAAGTAAAAAGTCACGATTGTTATTACATTATATGCTGCTTTAGGTTAATATATTTTTAAAAATAGGTTTGATTTTGGGCTTTTAGACAACAATTGTTTTTTAATCATTATTAAAATTTCTAGGGCAGAATCCTATTTTTAAACACGTTCTTAAATGTTTAATTCAAGTTCTTACTTTAATTTAATGGGTTCTTACTTAATTAAACTCCTTACTATAGATTTTGATTAATAAATTTAAAGCAATACAACCTTCCATTCCTCTTTGTCTTTAATTGACAGTGCACACAATGAAAAGACAACAATTTCAAAATCCAAACTAGTTCCAATTAAAATCCGTCTTTTCCTCATTCTTCCATTTTCTATGAATTTAACTTGCATATCCTTTATTTCATCCTTTAATTTACAAAATTAAATGAATTTTGTATTTTTTGAATGTAAATCGTAATTATGTAAATTGAGAGATTTCCCAAGCATACTTTTATAATAATCGTAATACATCTTATACCAAACGAGAGTTGATTATTTTTATACGATATAGATAGATTTATAAGAATAAAGGCTGATCAAGATGATCGTAACTGTACGTAACTAGGAGATGACCGGATCTTATAACAATAATAAGCACATTCAGAGCTATCGTTTTGTATAAGAAATATTTGGAAATGTCAAAAAAATGTCAAAGAAAAATTTTCCCATGTTGCGAATGTATCACGCCTAAAAGCTTGAACCGTGAAAAAACTGGAAAAAGCTAAAAAGGCTCTCTCATCTCTCATAATTTATTTTAAAAGGATGATACATTGTTGTTTATGAGCTTTAACGAAATAATTTTCATATGTGGCTGTTCACGTATAAAAGAATGCCAGTTTCCCTTCTCTTGTGTGAATTGGCAAAATAAGGAATAGAATTCTTAAATGATTTAAATTTTTTGAAATTAAATTAAAAATTTACAGAATTATTCGGGTTTCATGACTTACGCCGGAATTAGGTATTTGAAATTTAGTTTCAACTAGAGTTGCACGAGATCGATATCACGACCGAGACCGAGACGAGAATCTCGGTCATTTTCCAATCTCGGTCTCGGTTTTGCCGAGACGAGACCACTTAACCGAGACGAGATTCTCGGCACTTAATCTCGCCGAGATCCGAGATCAGTATACACCCCTAAAGATTGAACTTCTTGAGATTTATTTTTATTTTGACAAAATATTTAAAATTTCGCTATTGGTACATATATGTATTGTTGTGCTCACTTTAATTTAGTTGTCTAGAGAGCGGAGCAGGACAAATAGGCGCGGCCGAATACACATCAACCTTCGCGGAAAAAAGTTTTTGCCTGTGTGGAGGAAGCCGGGCATGTCGAGCGGAACTACGGCCGCCGCTTCGCTACGGTCGCCGCGATCGAAGCGAATACGACCGCAGCGAAGCACGGCCTTATGGAACCCCGACTTACGGAACCCAACCCCAACCTTGAACACGAAGAAAAATCCAAAAGTTGGGGCTTCACATTTGCAGATACCGACACTTGCAGATATGACACTTGCAGATCAGACATTTGCAGATCCGACTTTTGCAGATATTAATTTTTGAAAAAAAATTTTAAATTAAAAAAAAATTTAGAAATCTTAAAAAATCAAAGGATATAGTATGGTATACACGTGGAAAGATTTTGATAACAGACCCATACCAATTCGTCTCGACGAGCTAAGTCGAACGGCATCACTCTTTCCGGAGATTCTCTTTTTTCCGGAGGTTCAAAATGTCATATCTGCAAGTGTCGTGACACGCTTCTAATAAACCGACCCCGTAGAGACACAAGTGTCCCCTACCCTTTATACTTGAGTCTTTCTGGAGAAATTGTGGGAAAAATTCTAGTTGTAAAGGCAAATATGGATAAACTGATGCTTGGTCCACCAACTGAAATTGATTCTGATGAAACATATGATTTTGATGATGATTAATTAATTTAAATGGGTTTTGGTGGATGAAAAAAGTTTTGAAAAATCTCGGTTTATCTCGGATCTCGATATCGGTCTCGGGTCAAATTTTGCATCTCGGTCTCGGTCTCGGTCATGCGAGTCTCGGTCAATCTCGGTCTCGGATTTTTTCTAAAATCTCGATCTCGTGCAACTCTAGTTTCAACACTCACCCACTTTACTATTTAAAGAATTTCCATCAATGGGTGTGTGAAAAACTTCGACTTCGAGTCGGAGTTTGAACTCCGATTTGGAGCTGGTTTTGTTATGGTACAGTGTTTCATAAGTATACGCGCACCTGTATTTTTCGATTTTTCTTTCATTAATACAGATGTAAATAACTTCTAGATTTTTTAAAATATATGAATGAACTAAACAACAAGATCTATGGACAATCGAAAAATTTATGTGCGCGTATACATATGAAACACAGTATAGAGACTTCGTGTCGGGGGGGGGGGGGCGTTTCAAAAAATTTAAATATTAATTATAATTATTTAAAATATTTTTAATAAACTAACGCGGTTCTTCCTCAGAAAATAAGAGTTCCCCAACTTTATCAATGAAACTTTTTTGGCCATCATCTTCTATAAACTCAACAAAATAATTTTCTCTATTCTCGTATAATTCTCCAGCTTTTTGAAATATTAAACTTTCATTTAAATTTTGAAGAAATTCTTTTTTAAGGTCGGTATTATCAAAATCATTCTTTAAACAAATAAGTGAATTTTTAAATTATTTCAAAATAAAAAACTAACACAAAGCCGGACATAAGCATCATTTAATGAATTAGAAGGAATAATGTTAGGAGGTATATTTTTTTCAATATGAGATAATTGGCTATAAAATAAGATTTATTAGTAAATTTGTTTTTTGGGGGATAAGAGAAGGTTTAGCTATAGGTTTGCTTACTTGCCAGTTATGGCTACAAATGCTTGGAAATTTTAAATTTGCGAATACTATTACCACCCTATGTTTTTTCTATTTTACTTCACTGATATGGTTTTAGTCAGAAATAGTCCAGGTTGTGGAAAAAGTCGGCTTGCAAAATTTCCCTTTGGCCGGATTTCATTCCAAAAAATTCAGGGTTCCGGGTACCCGATCCTCCTTATTTTCAAATATCAGAAGAATTTCCTAAGTGGAACTCTACCCGTGTTTTTATTATAATTAAATTTTTGCGCATTTTGTTTTAAAATTTTAAAATTAAAAAATTAAAATTTTTGATTATTAAAATGATGTAATATTAATAACGATGGTGAAATCGTTAAAAATATTAAATAATTTCCCATATAAACAAATTAAATGTCTAGTATTATAATCTAAGAGTGCATTGAAAAAAATTATTTTTATTTCAAAATACCTCATTCCATTTTCTAAATTTTTTATTTCATAACGTCTTCCAAACTTCATCCGGTTTGGGTTATCCATTCTCCATAAAATAGTAAATGGAGATAGTTTATGTAGTTCATAAGCTGTTATAATATTAATTAAACACAAAATGAAATAAACTAGAATTTTCATCTGGAAAATAAAAATGTTTTTTTATTCTTTGTATATCCCTCCTAGCTGTCATGGATTCCGATAATAATTTTATTTCCAATCTACTCGAAAAGTATAATAATAATAACCAACAACCCCAAAATATGCCTAAAAGTTCGATTATGTTCCACTATTTATTGAACTCCTTAAATTTAGCTGAGTTAAGATACACTAAAAATTATTAAAAATAATTGACAATTTATTAACAAAGTGGGGTTAATAATAAAATATAGCGATGATGTTATAAAGACAAGGAAAATATAATGCTTAATTGGCTCGAATAAGTCTGATAAGGAAATAAAATATTTGTTAAAAAATTTTGTCCTTGTACTTTTAATATGTACGAGTTAGTGATGCTCGGGAGAAGAAAAAACCCGGGAATCGGGAAACGGGAGTCGGGTCGGGAAATGACCTCGGGAGTCGGGATCGGGATACCCGAGCATCACTAGTACGAGTACGAATCTGATAAGGGCTTCTAAATGAAACTATAACTCCAATATACAATATACTATAACTCCTAAGTTTTTTCAATTATCTCGGCCAATTGTTAAGTCCGAGATCTACTTATGATACATTCGATTTAGCTTAAAAAACTTTTCCGAATTAGATCACGATCTATTATTCTAGTTATGCCGCTCAGATCTTTCGGTCTGGAAGCTCTGGGATTGTGGATTGAGTGGGAGGAGGCGCAGAGGACCTTTTAACAAAATAAATTTGATAAAATAATTATTTCATTTTCCAAATATATATTAAATGAGTTAACGGTTCAATGTAAATATTCGAGTAATAAATAAAGAAAATGGGAAATTTATGGGATGTAGGGATTAATCGAATGAACACCTCTTAAGTTAATCATTTGTTGTTCAACCTTAAGTTAAATATTGGGAAAATGAGAGGGAAGAAATGTATAAAATTAAAAGTGAACATTCTGGGAATGTTGTGAAGTAATTATTTAGATAATGCTGGGAAAAAATGTTAAATGAACATTGTATGTTTAAGAACATTTGGCAAGGAAATTTATGGGAAAGGAAATGAATAACATTAAATGTGCAATGTTAAAGATAGTTGATAATAATAAAAAATGAGAATGATAAGAATACTAAATATAAATTGTTATAGGAGAATTGAGGTCATGGTCGGGACCAAAATTTAGTTATTTAATAGAAAAGAAATTTCATAAAAGTTCTTCCTTTCCTTATCATAAACGCTGTTTTGATAATCATTTGTTAATCGATTTTATGTTGGACAGGTAGAGGACATTACAATGTTTTTTGTGAGCGGAGAATGATGTTTTGCACTACAAATACGCAAAAAATAAAAACGCTTCCGCAGGTTTCTGCGTTTTTTGAGCTGTTTCTGTGAGCTTGATTCCGGAACTCAAATTGGATACGGTTCTGGTCAAATCGTTTCCGGTGAAACAATAATTGTTAGTTTGTCTTTATTACAATTAAAAGACAAGCCCATTCTCGTTCGGAACTTGTCGAGCATTGTAATTTATTAGCAAGAGCATTCATTAGCAAGTCTTTAAATTTAAGCAAATAAGTGCATCCAAACGTGAAAAATTTCGCACGTGAATTTATTTTGGCATGTGCAATTTTATTAAAAAGATTAGATTAAAAAGACAAGATCAATCACTTTAGTAAATCAATGAATTGTTTCAGTCTTAAATTTTTTTGAAATTAAATGAAAAGTGCATTACAATACAACGCGGGATTTAAGTATAGCCGCACAAAAAACTCCGAACTGAATTCGCCAAATGTTATCAAATTTCGCAGAAATGTTTTGATAATCTTTTAGCTAATCAATTTCTGCCAAAATAGCTTCAAATGCATAGTAGGTTTCTTCTGTTTTATTTGGTAATTGGCAGAAAACGAAAGGAACCACACGATTTCTGGATTTAAAAAATTAAGTTTTCAATTAAACTAGGTAATTTAAATAAAATCTGATTTATTAATTTTATTTTTCAAACAAAAATTGGTTATATAAGAAATATCAATTATTTAAAAAAAAGTAGTATCTTCCTTAATCTTCCTTATCATAAATGCTGTTTTGATAATCTTTTAGCTAATCTATTATCTTGTAAGGTAGAGGACATTCCTGCGCTTTTTGGGGTGGAGAAAGTTGACTTTCCACTAAATTAAAAAATATTTGTTTGTTAATTTTTAAAATTCCAAACGTGTTCGAATTGCTTTTTCCAATTGGTTTTGATATTTCTTTTCCTCGTGGTGCAGAATTGCTTCTTCTAAAATTTTAAATATTAGAATTAAATTTCATTAATTAATGCATGGATGATATTTCGGGGTTATTTTATCATTTGTTTGTATTTTCAATTCTGAGGATCTACCGTTATTCAGCCTCAACATTTAATCCTTTATTTACAAACTTTGAAGTTTCCCCAACTCTAGTTAACTCGTTTTGAAATTATATTATTCTTAACAGAATTATCCCATTCACTGAACTAGATGTGCATCGCTTACATTATCAGTATCTTGTTTATTAGGGAAAAATTTTTGTCGTTTAATTTTTTACACAGTTATACGTAGTTTTTCCTTCCTCCATATGAGAAAGATGATAAGTTCACAATCTTTTTTCCAAATTAACATTAACTTATAAGTGCATTGCGATAAATATTGTTTTTTAATTAAACTAAAGGAAGACTTTATCCAATTTTTTATTTGTTATCAACAAGACTAAGGAAACATCTCCGGAATTTAAGTGCCCAACTCACTTTACTGTGGGTTGAGGCAATCTTGAATTTGAACTAGCAGTTATTCTCTCAACACTTTCCGTAGTTCTATGTATTATAACACTCCCACCACTAGGCCTTCGTTGATTAGCATACGAACTTTGAATAGGTGCATGTGTCGATTTTGAGTTAGTTAAGACAGCTTTATCTGATTGACCATAATGAGAGGAACCGGATGAGGTAGCCGAGGATGAAGTCAATGAAGACCTTGTTTTTGGACGACTTTTAACAGCTTAAATTGAAAATAATGTTAAAATTATTAAATATACATAAAAAAGTCTTAATAATAAATTTTAAAATTAAATAGCTGTGAAGTTTCATAGGACGGAAATAATCGAAAAAGCATAGGAAAACTGAAAATATGTATATCTGTCTTAAAGCTTATGCATTCCATGAAGACGAGAATTCCCCAGTTTTTTTTTCTAAATTGCGAGTTTTGCAATTTATTGTCATGTTATATGGCTAAAAAATTATCACTAACATTCAGAAGTTTTTTGTCTTCCCTGTTTTGACAAAATAGCTTTCCTAACATTCTGTTCCTTACAAAATTCAATATGTCTCTCAGCTGCATTTTTGTTAAAACTTCTCCCACAAAAATCACATTTAATATAATCTTTAAATTTATTTTTAGAATTTTTAGTTTTATTAAACTTACCTGCATTAGAAGCAGTTTTGGGAGGAGGAGGTAGAGGGGCACCCGTTTTCAATGCATTCCCGACTTGCTTAGAAGCACTCACGGCACCAATAAATTCTTCATGTCGTTCACGCCAATTTGTTTGACTAAGATAAATTTAAGTAAAATCGGAATACGACTTAACATAGACCCAAAAAGAACCCCCCAATTTTCATAAAATTTGTTGACTAGTTTGGTTCACTCACACAAATTTAACTCCTAATTTCAGATAATTTTTTCTAGGATTAGGCGGGATCGGGATCCCCATCGGGCGTGATTATCTCGGTTTATTTGAATACCTTTCCGATTTTTCTGATCCCAAGACCGAAAGATAAATCCCGTTCCTGGTTTCGGCCAATCACGAACCCGCAGCCGGGATCAGCATTCCATGATCCCGATCCCGATACCGCCCAACTCTAATTTTTCCTACAAGGGTATGTATATAAAATCGAAATTCGACTTTATTATTAATTTAATACAGGGTTTCGATTTCTGCGGATTTTTCCTCATTTTGTGGTTTTTTGTTAGGGCGATGAGGATTATTTATAAAAATGCGGATTTGCGGATTTTTGTGGTCTTTTGAAGAATATGAGGATTTTTTGTATTTTTCTGTAGTTTTTATGATAAAATGCCATTATTTTCTGCTAAGACCTTCCAAAATCCTCAAAATTTTCGCCTGCGGCGCTGAAAATGTAAGATTTTTGGCTTAAGAATTTTTCGAAATTCAAAAAAAATTTTGCCTGCGGAGCTGAAAAAGGAAAAAATAAAAATTTTTGTCGTCTTCGGCGATAAAAATTCAATTGTAATTGCCAGATAATTGTTTGGATTTCTACATATAAGATTATCATTAGTAATAAAAAAATTGCATAATTCAATTATTGGAGTAAAAAATATCAAACATAAAGAGATTTTACTTCAAATTTTGTGTTTAATAATTTTTTGCGGATTTTTCATATCAAATGCGGATTTTTTCGACCAAAATTGCGGATTTTTAAAAATTCGAGATCGAAGCCCTGATTTAATATGAAACAGAATTTTTAAATTAAAATTAACTTACGGTCTTGGAAAGACACCACCCATCTAGAAAAATCAAATAATTTTGAAATAAATTAATTTCAGACTACCTTCTCTCGCTCCTTCTGCACTTTTCTTACATCATTAATGGGTATATCTGAATTTAATGCTCTTTGTTTACCCTTAATTTTTTTAAAAATATTTTTGAATTTTTAAATTTCAAAAAACCGAGTCGAAAACTTTGCGTTGCATTTTTGTTAATTTTTTGCATGCTTGTTCGTGTTTCTCCTTAAAATTTTTAAAATATTTTTATTCGTAAAATAATTATTTAAAATTATTAGTAAGATACGAGTGTCATAAAAATTAAAATTGAATTTTCCATACCAAGCTTGATTTTATGAATCTTCGCGTACATATACGACAAGGAAATGTTTGTTCATCTTTAGCTGTTTCAGCTTTAAAAATTAACAAATATTTTTATTTTTCTGCTAATATTATTTCTTACCCGATGCCATAATATATATAATTAATTTATTAATTAAATAAAATA